CAGATTTTTTTTTGACTGAGGACTTCAAACTGTTGCTGCAAAATTTGTGTCCCAGCGTGAAAAACGCCAATCACTTGTTTTTAAAATTTTTAAAAGTTTAATAGTAATAAAATAGTTAAAACGAATAGTAACACAATCAGACTAATAACAATTTGGACAAATTGAATAAGGACAATATGAGACAATAAAACAAAGAGTTACTGATGTCCGGGTACCTTTTTCTGGGCATCACGAGCCTGAAAAAGGACTCCTGCTAACAAAGGATTAACCCTTAAGAACAACAGCCTGTTGCATATTCATACACTTCATACATGATGCATAAATTCCATTCAAACACAGGATTCTGTCTGGGCAGTGTCACCTTCTTCCTTCTAATCCTAACAGCGCCTCCAAGGTGGGAAGAAGTTCGTTTCTTCGGATAAGAAGGCAATAAATTCCCTTTCTCTGAAAGATTCAGGTGTCCTGTGGCTGCTATCTTGCTGCAAGCCCTTCTTGTTAAACAAAGCATCTTACATAGCCTAGTTTCTATTTTAACAATTTCTATAACCTAAAACTATATTTAACACATACTTAAGAAAATTAATACAGCATTATTTTCTAACACAACACATATAATATTCATCTTAATATTTGTGAAAAGCCAAGCATAAAATACATGCATTTTTCACACCAGTAAAACTAAAACAGGCTGAATTTTGGCTTCACATGTTACTGCGTGTGATTTGGAGCTGAGCACAATGCTTCAAATACAAAATACAGACTTTGAATGAGAGTTCCTGCTCAAGTGAATATTAAGTCATCTTTCTCTTTTCTAAACTCAGTAGGCTCATGACTGCTCTCTGTTGTGTGTGGATCTCAATGCCATTAATAACACCATGATGCCATGGCCAGCAGTCAGTGCCAGCCTGGTAAAATGGACATTAACAGCAGGATTCACAGCTACTCAATTAACCCTGCTATTGAGCCATTGCTAATTGCCATTGAGCCATTGCTCAGCAAATCCAGAATGGCTGGCAAGACCCTTTGGGGTATATAAAAACAGTGCCAGGCAAAGGAGTTAGAAAGCTTAAACTCTACACAGTCTGTCATTATTCTAAATGAATTCCTTGTAATGTGAAAGCTCTTGCTGAAGCAGAAATTGCGGTCATCAGACTGCTGAGCTGGGGTGGCCGGGGATGTGCTGAGTGCTGGGAAGGATGAAGCCCTGCTTTGTCAGGAGGGTGACAGAGGAACTGAGAGTGGAGAAACCCATCCCCACAGCTCAGCACAAACCCCGAGTTCCCTGCACAGCTTCCACCTCCAAACCCAGGCACTTTAGGGAAGGTGCTGCCCAACAAATCCAAGGGCAGGTGCCAGGCTTCCATCCCAGCCAGGGACAGTGGTGTGGGGTCCCTGTGCCCAGCTCTGATTTCTGCTTCTGTCCCAGGAGTGCACCAACGACTGCTGTGACCCTGAGACCTGCAAGCTGAGCTCGGGAGCTGCCTGTGCCTCTGGGGAGTGCTGTGAGAACTGCCAGGTGAGACCTGTTCTTTGTAAAATCTGCCAGGTGAGACCTTTTCCTTGCAAAATCTGCCAGGTGAGACCCCTCACCTCAGAGAACTGCCAGGTGAGACCTTTTCCCTGTAAAAACTGTCAGGTGAGACCCCTCACCTCAGAGAACTGCCAGGTGAGACCCCTGCCCTCCCCTGTGAGAACTGCCCTGTGAGAACCCCCCCTCTGCAGATCCTCACCCCTGCTGCAATAAAGCAGGAACTGACCTTGCACCAGAACTGGTCCCCTGTGTTTGACAGCACTGCCAAGGGCACTGTCATGGAGTCATGGAATGGCCTGGGCTGGAAGGGACACGTGGGGTCACTGATCCAACCCAGGCTCTGCACAGACACCCCAAAATCCCACCCTGGGTATGCCTAGAGTGCTGTCCAAGCTCTCCTGGAGCTCTGGGCAGTGCCAGCACCATCTGGGGGAAGAGCCTTTCCCAAAACCCAGCTTTTCCCTGATCCCCAACCATTCCCTCAGGTGCTGTCACTGCCCACCAGCACCAGCCCACCCCAAACCATCAACTCCCTCAATCTCCCACCACCCTGCAGAAATGAGCCCTTTGTTGGCCATTTTCTCATGGAAATAAAAGCTGTGGCACAAGAGGCAAACCCTGAGAACTGACAGATCCAACACAAAGGGAGATATGGATCCTGCTCCTCACACAGCCTGTGTGTCACCGTTGAGCAAAAAATGACACAGATTCACTACAAGGCTGGTTTGTAAAACAGCAGCTCCAATATGAAAATTCTCTTCTTTTACAGATAGGTTCAACACATTCTACTTGATTGGCTAATTAACAAAAACTTTCTCACAAACAGTCCTGGAGAAGAACAGAAAGAGTAGGAAAAAACCTGCAGGTTGTTTAAACTAACAAGTTATCACTGTTCTTCTACAACTCCCTAAAAGTCTCCCAAGCCCACTGTGAGCACACAAAGCCGTTTTCTCACTCTCTGACCAGGCTGTTGCCCCCAGCCCTGTGCAGTGAGGTTTTCCTGCCTGTTCCAGCCCTCAGCTGGGTGGTTTGGGCAGTGTGGAGGAGCTGGGTGCTGAGTGTGGCGTTTTCTCCCTCTCTCAGTTCAAGAAGTCGGGCTCGGTGTGCCGGCCGGTGAAGGACGAGTGTGACCTGGCTGAGATGTGCACGGGGCGCTCGCCCAGCTGCCCCGAGGATCGCTTCCGTGTCAACGGGCACCCCTGCAGATTTGGAGAGGGCTACTGCTACCTGGGCACCTGTCCCACCCGTGACAGCCAGTGCAAACACGCCTTTGGGCCAGGTGAGTTCACTGTGGCACCGAAAATCAGCTTGGCTTGGGCCTAGAGACAGGAGAGGGAATTCTGCATCACATCCTCAGATCCAGTGCACCTCAGGAACTGAGGGTCTGCTCTTCACCTCAGGCTTTGTGGTATTTTCAGGGGTCCCCAGGACAAGGTGAGAGATGAGTGAATCTGACTCCATGTTCTTAGAAAGCTAATTTATTGTTATATCACATTACATTACATTACATCATATCATATCATGTCATATCACATTATGTTATATTACATCATATCATATAATATCATATCATATATCACAATGTTATATTATATCAGATTATATCAGATTAGATCATAATATATCATAATATATCACATTATATTATATTACATTACATTATTATAATATAATAGTAATTTATTAATAATTTATTATATATTATATAATAATATATAATATCTAACCTATATAATATGTATTATAATAATATATAATATATAGCAAATTGAATTAAATTATTTAGTATAATATAATATAATATGATATAATATAATATGATATAATATAATATTTATAGTAGAATATAATAATGTGTTATGTTATGTTATATATTATACTATACTAATATATAGTATAGTATAGTATAATATATATACTATATATTATATATAGTATATATATTATACTATATATACTATAGTGTGTATATATATATTCCAATTATACTATAATTGGAATATATAAATGTAGTGTGTATATATATATATATATATATATATATATGCACTACAGAATAGAGAAAGGACACAGACAGAAGGCTACAAAGAATGACAATGAAGACCTCATGACTGACCCCTCAGAGTCTGACACAGCTGGCTGTGATTTGTCATTAATTAAACACAATTCACATTAAACCAATCAAACATGCACCTGTTGGTAAACAATCTCCAGCCACATTCCAAAGCAGCAAAACAGGGAGAAGCAAATGAGATAATATTGTTTTTTCCCTGAGGCTGCTCATCTTCCCAGGAGAAGAAATCCTGGCAAAGGGATTTTTCAGAAAATATGACAATGACAGCCCATCCATAAAAATAAACTCCAGTTTGTAGCATAATTAATGATGGTTTTTATATTTCCCATTTTCAGTGGTTGTAGCTCATGAGCCAGACCTCAGGGCATGGCGTGCTCTGTGCTTTTAGGGAAACGGGAAGGGGGGAGCACATTCCTCTTTTGCAGAACACGTCTGAGTTAGTTGGAATGGAGCTGGGGAAGTGGTTTTGGCCAGATAGGAAGAGGAAATGACTGTCCTTCAAATTAACAGCCAGATTTGGCACGTGTGGTTCTTCTGAAAGCAGCATTTCATAGAGCTGGGGAACGGCTTGGGCTGAAAGGGGATTTAAATCCCATCCAGTGCCACCCACACCTCCCACTGTCCCACGTGCTCCAGCCTGGCCTTGGGCACTGCCACGGATCCAGGGGCAGCCACAGCTCCCTGGGAATGCCATCCCAGCCCCTTCCCCCTTCATGGTGTTATAAATGAATACTCCAATTTAATAATTAAGGAAATTTATTAAATAATCAGAGTATAAATTTGGTAAAAGCCACAAGCAATTTGACTCTGAGCCAGGTGATCAGAGTCAGGGAAACCCAGAATTTGGCCTCTATTTCACCAAAGTCCCCGTGGGTCTCCAAATGTCATTTATTTCTAAAGAGTTTGTTTTGTACAGTCTTTTGGGCTCTGGAAAGACCCTTCTTTAGGATATTGTAATAGTTTTTCTTTCTTGCTGCCACATTTCTGAAAAAACTGAAATCCTGTCAGGTGAAAATCTTCTGGGATAAACTTCTGGTGTCGAATATTATCTTATTGATGATGCCTATCAAATGCCTCCTGCTGGGGTC